TGGTTACTCGAGATGTTTTGCAAGGCGACTGGGATGGCTGCTAACGGAGCCAAGTGTGAGGTGCTTGTCTTAGGGGCACACCTACTGAGTGGGGGTCGCTCGTGGGTTACGTGTACCGGCTGGGCGGGGAGATGTTGCGTGTATTGCCCCATAATGAATCGGCACAGTACCTCGGGATGCACTACGGGACAGGCCAACGGTTTGCCGCCTGCACTTCTCTCTGTCGTGAAAAGTTACGTACCGTACCCAAGCTCTACTTGTCATTTTATAATGCGCTGGCCTTGCCTGTCCTTTCCTACGAAGTGCAAGTGTGGGGATCCGGGTTTTTTAATGTGAACTTGGAGAATGCCGAGTGACAAATCCATATGGTCCAGGAGCAGCGCGCGTTCATATGGACGGTGGTAGGGGCCAGGAGCCTAACTAAGCTTCTGCCGTACTGTGAGCTGTCACAGAGGCCACTACAATTATGTTTTGGAAAGTCGGGCACCCAATGTTACAGAGCTTTTGTCGCTGACCTGCACTTGGCCGCAACACAGAATGTTGGGCCAGCAAGGTCACAACCTTTCTTACCAGCTTGGTTGTAAGCCCCCCGGCTGATCCTGCCCTCAACATGGCTGCCCCAGGGAAGGGAAGCATCCTGAGGGATTTTGTGAAGAGGAATGTTCAAGCAGCTATGTCTACAGTAAACTACGGGACTGAGGCGATGCCGTTTTTGCATAATTTGGCGGAACGGCTGCCGAGAAGCGTGACTGTGTTACATTCCAGACCAGGTGTATCCTATCTTGTGTGTTCGATAGGCGCTCTCCTGTTCGATCCTTTTTTCATAGCTTTTGATACCTGTACCAAACCATCTTTTTCATATCCTCGTCTTTGGAAAACTGTCGCAAACGCTGCTTAATCTGGAAGCTGACCTAAATTGCTTCTTTCCGCTTTCGTCGAACGCAGATTGCTACATGGTGTGCGGCGGACTTGTAGAAGAGGACGCCGAGGGATTCAGGTACGACTGGTACGACCGGTACGAAACAAAAGGAAGGTTCTTCTGTTTCCCTCTTGTTGTAGCTCCCTGTTGATAAAATTTAATACGCAACTTCTTAAACATCACTCCTGCCGGTGCCAATCCATATGCCGTACCCACGCCGTACAACCACCGCCGTACATCACAGGTCCGTTACAGAGGCCGTGGATCCCCTGCACGCGCACAAGGTCTTTGCATTCGCCGCGTTGGAAGCGGCTCGCTGCGTGATGATGCCCGGTACCGGCCAGCCTGTACGACTGCGAGTAGGCATCCACAGCGGCCCCGTCATGAGCGGCATCGTGGGGCGGAAGATGCCCCGTTTTTGTCTGTTTGGC